CTTATAGAAAATGTTGAGAAGCCCAAATTGCCCAAACTAGTTTGGGCTTTGAGAAACAGTTTGGACCAGAAACCTTATCCATCAGATGATAATAATGTAAATAATGAATCATTTTTCACCAACAATAATATCTCAACATCTCATGATAACAATCTACCTCCATCTGATGATAATAATGTAAATAATGATACTGATAACAATGTATCTGAGAAAGAAATTTCTGTTTATCAATTGTCTATTTATTTTTATTTTTGTTAGCTCATGTATTTGTTTTTGAAATCTTACAATCTTCAAACAAGAAAGTGAGTTAATTACAATGTTGGACCAAGATATAGAAAATGCCACCACTGAAATGTAAATATAAACTAAAATATTTAACAATAGATATAATGTTTTATTTATTTATTTATTTTTTTAATGTTTGTATTATAGAACTCGTCATCACCACAACCATCACCACAATTATCACCAACACAATCATCAACACCACCACAAGAATTTAATGATGACAAGGTATATATAATATAAAATATAATTACAATCATATTTCAAAATAAAACATTAATTTTTTTTTATTTTTTTTATATAGACGGGATGCACTAATTTATGCCCATGCCATTGCTTATAATAATGTGTTATTAATGTTATTAATATTACTCTACAAAAATTAAATTCTGCTTTTGGTTGTTTTTTAAATTACTTAGTAATTATAGTTTACCCAAAAAACAGCAAAGAATTTTTTGTAAGGTAATAATTTAGTTATTATTTTCAAATAATAAATAATAAAATACAAAGTTATCATTTGCTTAATTTTAAATGGTCATTGTGAATATGCAGGATCGATTTATGTTATCTAAATGATTAACAGTTAATATTAATTAAAGATAGATTTCTGTAGTACTTAGTCTATGGTAATAGTAACAGTTGTTCATCATAATAATAATCATTTTTTGATTTCCATAATATTATGGATTTTGGCTCATGATCTGTAATAGTAATAGTATTCATAATATAGATAGTAACAAAAATTATAATAGTAATAGTAATAGAATTGTGATGTTAAACAAACATTATTGATCCCTGAAATCTTTGGTAATACCAATATTCACTTTGTCTGGTTTTGTTGCAGCATGCCCCATATATAATTTGCATGTATAACAAACAGTCAATTATTTCTTTTAATTAATAAATTATAAAATTAAAGTTTTTCTTTTGTCAAGAAAAAAAAGAAATATGGTGGCAATTGTGAAATCAGACTCATTGTAGGACTCTAGTCGAATGATTTTTACCAGTCAAATGATTTGTAAAAAAAATAATACAATTATAAATTTATTATAAATGATAAATAAATATCTTTAATAAATAATCTATTTATATATCAAGGATTTCTTGGATTTTATCCACTAAATGTAAAACCAAGGCCTTCTAAATTGAGGCATACTGTAATAATAAAATAATACAATAATATTAATTAGGTGACTTGTAACAGCCTTTTCTTTGATAAAAACTCCATGTTCAGTTCTTTAATAAACTTACCATCAAGAAGATGTCCTTTTTTTTTCTGAGCATAAAATTGATTATAACAATCACTCTTCTCTTCTTTGTTTATGGAAGGTTCGAGATGATCAGAAGGTCTTTGAATATCTTGGTCATTAAATGAGTTGGGTGTTTCTCCATTAGGAGCATATCCACAATCTACTTTGTGTGCCTCTTCTTCCCAACCACTTGATAAATGTGCACTTACTGAAGATAATGCTGCTTGGAATATTAAGCCTACACCCATACCTTTGGCCAGAGAAGCACCAGTAGAAGCACCAACTTTTACAACATGTTTACCTGATTCAGTAGCACCTACTTTTAAAACATCTTGTATTATAACTTTGCCTCCTTGTTTTGTTATTTCTTCGGCTGCTTCTAGAGTAACAAAATTAAAGGTGTTTTTAGATACCTCTTGCATTGCTAACTTACTACCTTCTGTTATAACGAATGGATTTTGCCACCACCATCCTTTTGAGACTAATTGCTTTGCCCCCTCCTTCATAGTTAATTGGGCTGATTGTTGTAAAACCAGTTCCTTAGCTGTTGCCTCAGCAATAATACCTCCTGTGGCTGTTGCTATTCCTGTTCCTGCTAGTCCCACTCCTGTTATCGTTTCCTTAGATTCAAGATCCTCAAAATCATCTAAATCTAATTCATTATAGCCTCTAAGTTCAGGGAGTACCATTTCATTAATGTATACCCCACAATATTTTACATTTTCTCCACCTTTGCCTGGTTCCCCTCCTGTACCATTTACACCTTTCTTACTCCCTGCTTTAGAAATAGCAGGAGCATCAGATAATTGAAATGGACTATCTATGACTACAAAGCCAGGTTTCCCTTCAAATCCACCTTTTCCTCCTTGTCCACCATTTCCTCCTTTATGTCCTGGATCATAACTTTCATATGTTTCCGTAAATTTATCATTAAAGGTGAAAAGAAATTTCATTCCCTTTACTATGAGGTTTTCTATTACTTTTTTCCTTGAAACAAGAGCAGATTCATCTCTACTTTCTACAATTTCTTTTCCAATATCTGAACCATCCAGTCCATTGCCACCATTACCACCATCTTGACCTTGTCCACCATCTCCACCACTAACATCAATAGTTAAGGAAGAAAGATTGAAAAATTTTTTTCCTTTGGCATAAAAATGCCCTCCATTTTGACCAGGCGACCCAGGCAATCCATCTCTTCCATGAATTTGTTCACTATTTCCATCTTTTTCATCAATTTGTTCACTATTTCCATCGTTTTCATCAATTTGTTCACTATTTCCATCGTTTTCATCAATTTGTTCTTTGTTTCCATCGTTTTCATCAATTTGTTCTTTATTTCCATTTATTTCATCAATTTGTTCTTTATTTATATCTTTTTCATTAATTCCATCAACTGCTTTACTTGGTTGGTGCCAAGTGCCAGGTTTACCTTTTAAACTAATTTTTCTTTTGCCTACAACATGCCATTTGGGAGACATTAATGTCAAATTAACTCCTGGTGCAATTATATCTTCATCAATAAATAAACTGTTCAAGCTGTACACATTTACTTCAGATAGTTCTTTATCTTCCATAGCAGCATTAATATCCTCAGCTCCAATAATTAGGCCTTTGAAAGTTAACACTTTTCCTTGTTGATCTTTTTCAGGTGGAAACTTTAACATATCTATGTCCTGAATAGATTTATATATAATAGAATGATACCAGCTGCTAGTATTACCTTTAATTTTAAGTGATTCTGGTTTAATTAGCTTAATGAATTCTAATTGAAAAATTTTTTTATCAAATTCCTCTTCAAGTTCTTTTCTTTGGAGGAGTTTAGTGATTGAGGAAATTTGACAAAGATTATTTTCAAATTGTCGTGGTTCATTAGATATTTTGTTCAATTGATCACAAAAGTACTTTAAAGACTGAGACTCTCTTAATTCTTTAACTGTGCCTGAATGATTGTCTATTAATTTATCAAGGTAGTCTAGAATTCCTGGATAAAATTTATGTATCATAAAATTTTCTATGTCATCATTAAGCTTATCTGCTAGACCTTTGATAAGATTTTTTGACTCAGGAGCAATAGAAATACTAGGCTCTGGTTTTTCCAAATAAGGAATCTTTGTTATACCTTCCAGGATTTGAGATCTGTCCTCATCAGAAATAAGACCTTCTCGTGTAGGTGCATTGAAAAAAACAATTTGACTTTCAGGGGAAGATAAAAAACCAAGTATTTTTTTTTGTGTTGGACTGAAATTTCCTTGGCCATCCTGTTCCTTGAGAATCTCAAGCAAACCATTTCTCATTTCCTCCAAGTCAAGAGTCTTATTTTTTGTTACTACCAGACATAACCCTTGAACTAACTTATCCTCATCTGTGTTTTTAAAAGTTTCACCTATATTATGAATAAGATTTAAGAAGCTTCTACTCCTTGACCCTGTAATTGTAGCCTCAGAAACAGTGACCAAAACCTTCACTTTTTTTGCACTTTTGATTAACTTGTAAATTGAATAGGCATTTACAATATCCTGGACCTCACCACGTGTATCCCCAAAACCAGGACAATCCCAATACTCTTTCCAACCTGATGGCAAAGAAGTTTTTGAAACACTTCCATCGGTAATCTCACTACCTTTTAAAGGATTTTCAGTGTAAATAACAAACTCATCAAACCCTTTTCTCTTTTTACCAAACAGGGGAACTTCAGCTAAATAATTTAAGAGAGAACTTTTCCCTTCTCCTGTATCACCAATAATTATAACCACCTCTTCTTGTTGTGGAGGAATCTTTTCATTTATTTTATTAATATGTTGATGGATTTCTTCAATTTCAGGAAAATTATTTATTAACATTTGTAGAAATTATAACAATAATTTTAATTATAAAAATGGTATTAATAAAAATAAAAACAGTTATATTTAAAAAAAGACTTTTTTCGAAGTTTTCTTTTATTAATATTAATATTAACAAAAATTTACAAAAATGGTATAATGAACTATATACATATATTAAATATTGAGTGTTCATTCATCCATTCAAAACTCTATTTACGTGGTACAGTCTTTTGTTAACTATTAATATGGCAGCAAATGAAACGGGATAATCAACATCAACCATTGGCTAGCCTTAGTCAATCACTTTTCTACTTGTTTATTTATTTTTATTTTAAAATGTTAAAATTAGCTTTAAAATTTTTGACATCATCATCTATTCTAACTCTAATTTCTATATCATAGAAGTCTGATTCGTTCAATAGCTTTGTAAATCAATTACAAGTTTAATGATAAGGTATTGAATATAAATAATTACATTTTAAATAAATAAATAAAACCCCAAATATCCCTAAAAAAATTACAGTAATATACATAATAAAATAATATCCCATTTTTTTGTATAACGATTTGTATATACATTCTATTTATAGATAAGATTTATATCAAATCTTTGATGTGTTCTATAATTAATCCATCTATCAGGTACCATAAGAAAATATCTTTCCATTGCTTCTTTAAATCTATTTTCATATTGTTTGGGTGAAATAATAGTTGGTTCTTTACCACCTCCGCCCAAAAATCCTGCTTCTTTCACCCAACTTTCTAATTTCTTGTCCCATGTAAATGTTCTTATAAAATCTTTTCCACAAAAAATATATGCGCGTCCATATATAAATTAATGAACTTTTGTATAAATCTAAATTTATTTATTTTCAATAAAATAGAAAAATTTACTTACCAACTATTCCAACAACCAATTCCTGTTTATCATCATCAAAACCGACCAATAGTGAATAGTCCATAACATTATGATCCGCTAAAAATGTTGTATCATTATCAAGTGATTTACGAAGTAAATCTTTAGCATGTTCTCGAAGATATATAGGATTTTCATTTACAATGACTGTTTATTTGTAAAAAAAAAAGAAAATAATAAAAATAAATATTCCAATATCTGTAAATGCAACTAATAATAACAATAATAATTATAATTATTACTATCATTATCATCATTATCATTTATAATGTTTTACTTACGTTCAAGTAAATTTTCATCCAATAAAACTTCATTTTCCTTTCCAGTGCATTGAACATGCCGGTTTCTAATTGAACCTTTTAAATCAAAAATCTAACAAATTTAACAAATAAATTAGTAAATACCTGATTCCAGATGATATATATAGCTTTTGGTCATTATTGTCATACCTTTGAAACTTTACGTTCATAAAATAAGTTTTCCATTACAATAAGATCAATTTTCATGCTTTTCCCTGTATGTTCATTTTTATAACCAACGCGATAAAAACCAAATATCTTTGACAAAACGGTTGACTCCTATTGCATTATATAAAAATGCAAAATTAATAGTAATTGTTATATTTCAAATTTTATAAAACTATTAACTATAAATGAATATAATTTAACAACTTACATTGTCTAAAGCATTCGACATGTGTTCAAAATATTTTGGAGCAAATTTCAAGAAAGCGTCCATCTCATTACGAGACATTTGTTTCATAACCAATCGATCATCTTAAGGAACAAATAATAAATAATTTTCATTTATGCTTTAAAAAAATATACATTATTTATTTATTCAACATACCTCTTGTCTTTAAGAAAGCAGACCCTGATTTACCACCTGACGAGTCCCATTTAACACATCGTGCGAGTGATTGTATATATGTGCTTTCACAATTACATTTTCGACGTAAATTATCAAATTGTTCTGCACAAAATATTTTACAAAAAAATTGCGTAGACCCATCCTTTAATTCTTTAGGTAATAATAATATATAATCATTAAAATCATCATTATATTATAAGAAAAAGTCAAATTAAACAATATATATATATTAAAATTAATTTTACATACGACATTTCATATGTGAAATTAAATCATCGTCAAAATTAGCACCCTCATCAACATTTAAAATTCCCCAACTTGAACCTTTACTACCAAATTTATCATCTTCTGTTATAAATGTTTGATTTATTGACCGCACATTCTTTAATTTTTCAAGATATTCTTGTGAACTATATAAATATAGAAATATGAATTACTTTTTTTAAAAAGAATAATTATTAATTTCAATATTTACAAAAAAAATTTTTTTATATACAATACTTTAAAGCAAATGCAATGATAGATCCAGGTTCATCCTCCCTCACAATAATTTGGGAATTGGGAAATACATGCTCTGTTGGATTTCTAAATAAAATTAAAATTAAAACAATGCATAGATACATAATACACACCAATGTAATAATAAATGTTCTTACAAAGGATATTTTAAAGGTTTAAAGGCTTTCCTATCAGTTAAAAGGTTTGTGAGAGATCTCATCAGAGGCATTACTACTCCAGAACTGTTGTTATTAAGATTTTGATGATCTGAAAAATTATAATTTTAAAAAAATTTTTATTTCCCAAGAAAATCACTTTTTTAAATTATTAATGAACCTGATTATACTGACCTCCTGAAGTAGGCTCATTGAAATCTGGACCTAAAAATGTCAAAGCTGAATGATGGACGAATGATCCAGCAGATGTTTCATGAGTACGCGCTGCAAAAATTTCTTCATTTCCCAATGACTCATCAAAAGCATCTGTACTATTCAATGAAAAAATTTGATATTTGTCCTCTAAATTTTTTTCATAATTATCATCTACCTCCTCAAAATCTTCATCCGATTCTTCAGCTGTTGCCGTACTAACATTGCGGAATATCTCAATTGTAGGCTTTGATGTTAAGATAGTTGGTCTTCGGTGCCTGGGTTTATGTAATGCACCCATCTTATTATGATCTCGATTCTCATTTAATCGAGTTGAATTACTATTACTATTACTGTTATTACTACCACTGCAACTACCACTATTATTCTTATTAGAAGTTTCTGAAGACAAGTTTTTAATTGAAAATCTTTTACTGTTATTATTTTGTGCGCCTTTTAATTCTAAGGGTTGAATTTTTTTTAGGGATGATCTTTTTTGTGCAAAACGATCAAGTTGAACTTTTTTGGTTTCTTTATCATCAATAAGTGATATTCGACTTAATTGAGCAGATAGTGATGGTAATGATGAAGATGAAGATGATATTGGTGGAGTAGTTGGTGCAAGCGGTCCAATTGGTTGAAAATCATGTTTATTTTGCACAGTTTCTTTTGTATCATCAAACATAGTGAAATTGATATAAGATGAGAATAGATTTCTTGGTTGCTTTTTTATTGTTGAAGGGATCAATCTTGGAATTACTTCTGGCTCTTGCGTAAACTCAACCTCAGCTTGTGAATCTTCTTGTTGGTCAGCTATTAATGTGAAAATCGATTCAGATGCATTGTTTGATTTTATTGGCGATTGAAAGGTTTTAGATTCTTTCATCCATTTCATTGACAAACGTCTTGAGATTTTAGGATCCATGAATGGGAACATTGAAACTTGCGAATTGGCTTTTTCGATATCATTTTCCAAGTTTTCAATTTCATCTTCATGGTACAATTCAATATCCTTTGTCTCGTTCAATAATAATCCTCTAGTGGGTGAACCACTTAATTTTGGAAATATCGTAGGTCCCAACAATTCTTCATCCACTCTGTCAGTATCATCAGGATCCATATTTATCAACGGTAGGTCATTTAAAAGTGAGCCAGGATAACCATGTCCCAATGGCATAACATATTGTTTGACCTCAAAAAATCTTTTTAATTGTTTTGTCGTTAATCGAGGAAAATATTGTTTTGCAATTTCATCGAAATATTTATCCCAAGCTGTCACTTTCTCCTGGAGCACATACATTACATTATTTAATTCCAATGTGTCCTCGGGTGCGCTGTTCACATATGTCTGTTGAAGCTTTTGTAACATGTATCGCCTTTCAGTCACAACTCTTCTAGACATTTCTAATAATTCTTGCTTACAACATTCGATTTTATCGAGTTCAACAAAATCATAGTTAAAGTTTTTGATTCGATCAGCTACAGAATCCCAATAACTTGTAATCTTATTGCGAATTGTATCTAAATCTTGATTTTTTAGTCGAATATGAACTTCAGGCTTATAGTATAGGTGCTTAGGTGGTGCGTGTACTTCCATTAGCTTGATAGCTTCATATTCAAATTTTATTGCAAGATTATTAAATGCAAAGCATTTTTCTTGATCCTTGAATACATCATGTTGGCAATTTTCATTGCAACTTTCCAATTCTGTTTGATAAAACGACAGTTCAAGATATTTTCCAAATGAGTACTTCCATGCATCGTCTGACATTTTTTTGACCGGAGTTGGTTTTTCACATTTTTTGCAGTAACTCCATGTTAAAATACAATTTTCAAATTCGTGTACATCATGATGCCCTAAATTTTTATATTCCATAAGATGCACAGTAATTCTAGAATTTCCATGACAAAAACTTTGATAATGTAAGAACATTGGCTTATAACAATTTTGACAAATACTAGTAGAGTTAGTAATCAAGTCTTCAATATATTGGCCAATTGTGCGATCAGATTCTCCGTAATACTCCATAACCAAAATTTCAGGTCTTATACATGGTTTATGAGTTTCTTCAGAAAATTTTGTATATAATATCGTGATATTTTGAAAGGCATAAGGACTAACAATATTATTAAATGTATGACTTTTCCATGCTTTAGCCTGATAATCATATTCATCATATGCATCATTATACTCCCCTTCGGCACAGACCTGTTCTGGAGTACGTAGAATACCAGATAATCCAGTAACTGAGCTCGATTGTGACGGATGTGATTTCTCACTATCTTTTAAAGAACCAGTTTGCCATCCTGAAACATGTTTCTGATTTAATTCTGCTAATTTACGCTCAGCTTGTATCATTTTTGTAAGCAAATAAGGAGGAGGAAATTTGATAAATGGTGACACTGAAAGAATTCTAGTTTCATATGGTCTTACAATATCCTGTGTCTGCTTTGAAATACCAAGGCTTTTACTTTTACAATCTTCGTCATCATTTTTTCTATCAACCAAATTTAGATCGTAATTTAATCTTGCGAATTGCTTTAACAACAAAGCTGTTTCCAATTTAAGGTTGTAAACCACAAAAACCATAAGATCAGTAATTTGTTTGATCTTTTTCAATGTATTTATATCACCACCTCGCAACACTATTGTACAACCTAGCTCTCTCGGACAATTTTCAAAATATAGATAAGTTTTTCTTCTACCTGGAATAAGTTGATGAACAAAAGTTTTAACAGAGAATGATCCACATTTCCCTAATTTTGGCTCCGAAGTCAACTTTTCAATTGATATAATGTCTGCTCTTGAACAACGAGCAACAGCCTCTATAACAGACGATTTAACATTTAACGCAACGGATATATTTTTCTCTAATAAAAACTGTAAAGCTTTTCTAGCAACAGTTTTTTCAACTAGGACCAAATGAGGTGCTAATGCGGAAATACGAGCAACTAAATTTTTTAAATGTTCCTCCTCCTGAGCAATTACGGGATCTAAAGACATTAATTGATTTTCTACCCTGTGATACTCCAAGGCAAAAGTTAATATGAGCACCCGAGGACTCACAAGAAAACGGGGCATCTTTTTATGTGCTAAATTTTTTGTGCAGACAATTCCATGTACATATTCAGAGTCTTGAGGTGCTCCCCCAGGAATTTTTTTAATTTTAACATAATGACGAATATCAATTTCATCACCATTACGAACATTTGGATTTAAATTATCAGCCACCTTCATCACTAATTTCATTATGACATCTTCCCATCCTCCAGATAAATCTATCTGAGATTCTTGAAGAAGTTGACGTAAAAATTGTCTCATGTGTTGCAGAGAAATAGGATTCACTTCAAGTTTTACAGGAACTGAGGGTGACTTGTTATGACGGATGTTAAGAGGCGAGGATGGTCTTGGTTCCATCTGTGAGAAATCCATGACGTTTGTGTTAATTTGCTTAATATAGACACCTCTTTTCATGGGACGAGTTGGACGAGCATTAGAAATGCTTCTTCTATGATTAGAATAATTTTTATCTTTTGGATAAATGGCTCTATTATCTTCATTTCTTTGAGGTTTTTGCAAATTCTTTGCTTGTAATTTGTTATAATCGGAAGATTCATCATCACTTCCAGCATATTCTGAGGCAACAGGTGTTGGAGTAGCAGAATCATTATTAAGATACGAAATAGCAGAAAGATAAGATTGGTTGGTTAGTGAATCATAATTAACGTTACAATCATCATCATTGCTCATGAATGGGGCGATTTCAGGATCTAAGACAGCCTCAGCATTTGCAGCAGGAGTTACTTTATCTTCTTCCGGTAGGCTATGTCTAAATGGTGCAGGTGACGATGATAAAAATGTATTACTGTCATCTGCGGCTGTATTTGATCTAGATCTTGTCATAAATAATGAGGAACCAACCACCAACATTTTTTTGATACCATCGTTAATTGAAATTGTATCAGGAGATGGAGCTCTTTGATTCACAAGACCAGGTGTTGGAGGTGCCAATGAATAAGAAAATTCCGGTTGTGAATTAGGACTAATGACATTATAGTTGTCTGAAAACATTGCTAATTGAAGTTGCCTTTGAGGGATCATAAGTGAGATGTCATTTTGCCTTATATCTGATTCAAAATCAGAATATTCATCATGGCAATAATTACAAACCCTTATTGATCCATTATGATTAAATCTTGCGCCAGATATTATATTGGAGGAGCATTTGTAACAAAATATTTGACCTTAAAATTACCAAAAGTTGTAATTAATAAACTTAATATATATATATATATATATATATATATATTAATTAATAAATTAAATTATAATAAATATGCTTTGAAATAGAATCAATAAAGAAACTTGCCACAAAGACGACAATGATGTTTCCTTTTCAGAAGATTGAAAGTAGCTTTACAATCATAACATTCTTTACAAGTATCATCAGCCATCCAATAAACTCTATTGACACCCTCCCCGCGTATTCTGCGAATAGCTTTACTGACCGAGTTTTTTTTGATAACAGATGATGAATTAATTTGAAATGGTTTTACTACTCTTGAATCAAATGCATCATTCAAATATCTGACTTGATATTGTTGATCAAATAATGTAGTTGTGAGATGTTGAACACCGTTGGCCTTTTCAGATATTAAATTGGTAGAATCGTTTAAATTGCCATACTTTGTTGAATAATCTTGTGTCATAGGTTCTGACTCTAATAAAAGCACCGGGGCATTGTCAAATAATGCAGCTTCGAAAGATATAACAGGTGGTGCGAGTGTTACGCCTTGAACAAAACCTTTTTTTTCCTTATCAGGTAATAAAAGCGAAGTCACAGAAGGTTTAGTTGGTGAACTGTTGTTATTTTCTTGAGTTCCATTAATTGTATTGTTTGCATTAGTAGAATTCGTATTACTATTACTATTGTTGTTGCAGTTGTTAATAGTAATAGTAGAGTTACTTGTGATGTCAGTAGTATTTTTGGGTAGAACTTGTGTAGATGCATAAATTGTTGTTGAATTACCACCAGGAATACTAAACGAAGTTTTCACACGTTGAAGTAATTTAGAGATTACATTTTCGTTGTCTTCTTCAAAGGGTCTTTCAAAGTTAAAACTGGTCAAAGTAAAATTTTCAGTATTTTGTATTTTACTGTCATCATTATAAGTGTTATGAGTTTGAAGATTAGTTGACATCTAACAAATAAATTATTTAATTATAAATTTATTTTTTTTTATATATATATAATTTTTAAATTTTTTATAATTCATATTTACGAACGAATTTGGAAAATTAAATATTAATATTAATCAATTAGATGATATAATTGCTTGCCACCCACTAATACTAACGTAATTCTAAAAAGTCTTAATTTTTAAAAGCCTTACCAAATTAAGAACAGTGCCAAGATAAGTTACACGAATTTGGTAATAATGATATACTTAGTCCCGCAACTTTTTATTGGTCATGTAGATCCTTCAAATCCTCCAAAAATCGTGTTTTTGAAGCCAAGACTTTCCTCTACAAAGTTACGACTTCCATCTCGTTGATATGTCATGTTGTTGCGGAGAATTTGAGCTTCAAAGTTGCCCAAGTTTTACCGAGTTTACTATGTTTAGCCCTGAAATTGACGCATTACACATAAAAAAGTTAATATCCATGCATAATTATGCCAAACTTCTGGAAGATAGTCTTCACTTAATACTTCAAATGCCATAGAAAGCATCTAAATAGGAAATATGATTAATAAATTTTTTGAAAAAACAATTAAATATTGAATTGAATCAATTTTAGATGGACCATAATTCGAATCAAAGATTTTTTTCTTTGGTCATTACTTATGTGAATAGAAGCGGTTGCAGAATAACACCAGTACCGAAATGATTTACGGCTAACACATGGATTAACACTATATAATTACAATATTAAGCGTTTATATTTTAACAATACTTACAAAAATAAACCAATTTTGCTTCTAGTGGCGATAACTGGAATAAAGGCACCTAGCATTTAATAATAGTGTAATAAATGATTTTGGATTATAATCAAAAGAAATTAAATGATTGGTTATTTGTTTTTACCTAATGAACTTGTTATAAGAATTATAAAGAATGAAGTGATATGAAGACTTGGATTATATTCTTCAGCTGTATAACCACTATCACCACAAGAATCTAATACTTTATTTGTCGTAGGTTCTCCATTCGAATTCATATCATCTACGCATAAAGAAAAGCCACTACTATTACTACTATTATTTCACAAAAGTTTTGGAAAAATATAAATATATTATTTGGGACATACTGCAACAAAACCAGATTAAGTGAACATTATATCACATATACTGCAGGGTTTAGAATTTAGTGTAATTGTGATAATATTTTTCTAATAACCCTTAATCATCATTAGAAATTTAATTCTGACCTTTTCATCATTTAATTTATTTAAAAAAATAGTCTAAATTATATATACAAACTTTTTTGTTACCATTATCCTATTGATGACACTAATACTTAATACTTACAAATGGCTTTAGTCTGAGTATTTTCCTCCTACACAAGTGCTCTGACAATTCTTTAACTTATATTTTTATAAATTATTTCTATTATTATATAGTTGAATTAAAATTTTCTTTAAAATTCCAAGTCATGTGCCCACTAATTATCATTGGTACAACAATTAATCGATGCTATAAATGATTGTCATGTGGCTTATTATAACAATCCGATATATTGAAATTTTGTAATAGTAATAGTAATGTAACAAGTGGGGTGTCTTCTTCATAATGAAAGTGGAAAGTTCAACTGAAGAGTATTGTATTGCAAGTGCAAAAATTGATGGGAATTAGGTTTGATCAAGCAATTTACCACTGAGCGGGTTATAAATTTGTTATTTGGTTGGAACCAAAAGAGAGAATACAGTACCAGATGTTCAAGGACCACTAACAAAAAGAGCAAAGTTTCATGTAAATGCATTATCATTTGATCAGAGGATTTTGGACATGATTCCAGATATGATAGAAGATGAGAAATTTCATATGAATGTTAGGTGGAGTTTGAAGATGCTTGAAAAATCAGTTCGTCTGGATGAAAAGCCTCTTATTCAAAATTGCATATAGCTTTTAGTGATGACTATGAAGACCCTGGATGTCCTGAATTGATGTATTAATAGACAATTGGAGCATTTGTGTTTGAATAATAGCATCTCCATTTGAAAAATTATCATCATCTAAGTTAATAAAATATTCAGAGTTATTGTGTTTTATTTTTTAAAAAATAATTTTTACAAACAGAGCATGACTTGAACTAAATTTGATATTGTAAATGAAATTATAGCTTTATACCAATATAATTATCAAAAAATGCAGTAATAAAAAAATTTACATCTTTAACATCTTTAGTGATTTTTTAATTGCTTGCTGTTCTAAAAAAAACTTACATAAAATTATAAAATTATATATATAGGGATAGGTGTATATGAAAAACAATAATAAATATAAAAAGCAATTGATTTTTTAGAAAAAAGTTGTAATTGCGTGGTTGCTCTTCAAGAATTCCCAAGGAAAATTTTGCAGAATTAAGGAAATTCTTTCAAGCTCTTTCTAAAACAGAACAAGACATATTTTTGATGGACCAACTTAAAGCACTAGCAGTCGCCTTAAAAAGAAAACTTGATCCAATAAAAGAACTTTCTATCATTGGGATCATAATATACCTCTCTGTCAAGAAACTTATCTCAATATGTTAGGAATTGGCAGAACTTATTTCGAAAATATTAAAAATCATCTGATAAACAATGGTCTTCTGTCAAGAGTTTATGGTAATATTAAAAGAATGTCTCAATGGAAAACTAAGATGGCAATTGACAAAGACATTGCCACAATTGTAAAGAACTTTCTGGAAAATTATGCTGAGGTTCATGGATTACCAAGTCTAGGAAGAAGTAGCAATAGAATAACTCAACCAGTTGTATTTTTTCCGGCTACAAATCAGTCCACAGAGATTTTTTGGCTGGTCTGGAAGAAGATAACAAATTGAAATCTTTAAAATATGATGCATTCAGAAAATTATGACATCAATTGGCACAGATACTTGTCAACATTTTCGAAATACTATGGTAATTATTCTTTATCATCGTGTGTATAACTTTGCATTTTTATTCATTATTAATATATTAATATGAATATGGTCACGTCATCTATAAGTGAAATTTTAAAAGGTAAACCTTGAGTTCAAAGAAGTCATCAATCGTTAATGAATTAAAACATTCACGTAGTAGTGCAATTAATCTTTTATGTACAAATATTATAAATAAAAGTGAATTGAAGGGCAACCTTTAATCAATTGACCATTTGGGCATTGTAAATGATCATTTAATAGAATAAAATAACAGGCCTTTTGACCAATTGACCATTGTAAATGATGTTTTTAATTCGTGACTCTCCATTTCACCGTTTTTGCAGTTTTGTCATTTTTCTAATTATAAAAAGGATAATTATTCCCTTTCCAATGTCTTTGATATAATAAATACGAACCTTACAGTTGTATAATAAATTATCCCATTTGCAATTAACAATTATGATATAATATATTTCTTTTTGAAGAAAATGGATGAATGTGATCAAGAGATTAATGACTTTTACCAAGAGGATGATTGGATTATTATTAAGGCAAATTACTATTTCTATACTTTAAAAAAAAACTTCAACCGGTCAATACCTGATATACTCTCATGCTCCTTGAACCCTTAGAAAAGGCCACAAAGCACCTTCCAGCATCATTCTATCCAACTATGGGTGATATTCGTTTTGTCTTTGGAAGCATCCAGGTGTATTTACAATAATAAATAAAAGGAAAAGGTTTCACACAGAGTGAAATAGCAGCATCAATATCTCAAAAAATTGAAAAGTATTGGCAAATTATGGATCATTATTCAATCACTTCAATTTAGACATCTAAACCAACTCTCGGTCTTTTCAGAAGAAATAGACAAAGTGCTTGTAAACATATTAAAACAATTTTTGAAACTTTCCTGAAGCACTTTTCAATACACAATCTCCTGTAGATTATCATCAATGCAACTCGTTGATTTTCATCGTAATCCCGCATTTATTATGAATAATGTACGTAAAGAAATAAAAATTTCAGTCATTATGCAACTCTACAACAAATAATTTTTTTGATAAAATCTCTCTATTGCATTAAAACCAGAGATCTATTCTATCAACCAATAGAGCTATTTTTTTAAAAGGTAGGATATAAAGTGACTTCTATACTTTTAAAATTTGTGCAAGCCAATTATACAATGTTTTTAACGATTTTGCTCCTGTGCTTCAGTTTTAATAAAGCCAAAGACCGTTTTGATATCAAATTTGAAATTTTCGCATTAATACTTAATAAGGAATGGTCTGAAAGAAGTTTCCTTTTTGAAACAACAGTCGGTTGGTTGTAATGAGAAAAATTGGCAAGATTTTCAAAAGTTTATATTAAATGGAAAAACATTATAGAAATTTTTTTTATTATAAATAACGTTAACAAAAAAAACTCCCGATTTTAAATATTTTTTTTTTGTAAATTAAATATGAAAGAACGAATTGAATTAAAAATTAGTTGTAAAAAACTTGATGTTCTTTCAAATAGTGCTCTCCAAGTTTTGTTGTCAGTAAAAGATGCCAAAACGCATAAATGGAGACCAACATCTTATAAAACTGAAGTCATAAAGAACAATTTAAATCCAACATTTGTAACTGGGTTTGTTGTTGATTACGTATTTGAAGAATTACAAGAATTTAGGTAATTAGAAAAGTTTTTCATTTATTATTTCAAAAAAAAAAAACAAAACCTTTTCATGTTCTCCAAAAATATTAGATTTATATGTGTAAATGATACAAATCGGGAACATCAAGACTTTATTGGCCAATTTGAATGTGATTTAGGATCAATTGGTAAAGGTTTAAATTATAATATTATGCATTATATATTTTGAACAATTAATAATTTAATGGAATCATTTCGATTTAAGTTGCCAGTGAAGGGGGAAAGATGGTGGGATTTTTGACTTCACCTAATCATCCTGGTAAAAATCATGGACTAATAATTATTTCAGCTGATTCTAAAAGAAATCTAAAGTCAGTAAAAAATTATCTCTCATTTATATTATAATTAATTGAGAATATTGTGAATTAATGTTAAAATTTTGTTTATTAATGAATAATTAGATTACAGTTTCAAGCATGCAATATAGTTAACAAGGTGATTTATTAAAGAATTGATCATAAAATTAAGATATTATATATTAATATATCAATTGTTGACACCATTTAGGGGAAATTTTTTGGAGCAAAAGCAACTACATTTTTGGTTATTAGTAGAGCAAATGAAAATAATACCTTCTCACCAGTTTATGAATCAGATGTAGTTTCTTCTTCTAGTCCATGCTGGAAAGAACTTTACAGTAAATTACATATTTATTTATCGATTTTCACACAACAAATGTTCAATTTCTTGAATTTAATTCTACCTATTTATTTTATTATTGTTGTTATTAATCAAATCAGTAAGAGAATCTACTTTATGTAATGGCGATTCTGATGCAGAATTACAATTACAAGTCAAACAATACAAAAAGGATGGAGGTATGATAATAATCATCATTATAATTAGTTAAATAATTTATTAGTTAATTATTAAAATTTTTAATCATAGATAGTAAATAATGATAATGATAAAATGATAAAACCAATGTTTTCATTCAGAACATATACTTCTTGGAGAATGCTCTGCTACACTTCGAGAGATTATGGGAAGAAACAAAATATTTCCATTGAAACTTCAACCTGGCTCACAGAGAAAAATTTCAAAAGATGCAAACATAACAGTTGTTAAAGCTTTGGTACCTCCAAGTTTTTTGGATTATATTGCAGGCGGCACAAAAATTCGTCTTATGGTAGCAATTGATTTTACAGAATCAAATGGTGATCCTAGAAGTCAAAGAAGTTTACATTATAGTGGCGGAAGAGAAAATGATTATCAACGAGCCATCAGAAGTGTTGGAACAATGTAAATATTTTTAGATTTGTAATATTTTGCTTTTGTATATTTATTAATATTAATATTAACATTAACATTAATCTTTGAGATATATAGTTTAGAAGCGTATGGTTATGATAGATTATTTTCTGTTAGTAGAATCATAAATAGTTTATGATGAATGAT